AACACATCCACCATGAAACAGCAGCGCACAGCGTGGGGCAGCACACCCCGCGTCCCCAATGGAGGGGCTCAGCACACAGCAGTCACAGCCAGACCACCCAGCCATATCACAGATAGCAGCAGCAGCAGCGGAGGTGCATGCACCCACACAGGACCGCTGCTGCTGTCCGCTGCCTTCGGGTCTTGACCCTTGTCGGTCGACGGACTGCTGCTGCTCGGCTGGCTGCTGCCGCCTGTGGCTTCCGTGGCACTCGTAGAAGCAGAGGAGGAAGATGTCTGCGATTGCACGGCATCACTTTGCTCGACTGCAGTCTGAGCAGGACTTTCAGCAGGCTCCAAATTGGTGCGATCGGCAGCAGCGCTCTCAGTCTCAGGTGAGTCTGGCGCAGGTGGTGAGGCAGCAGAATTCTTGGCGTCATTCTTCTCATCGAGTGGGTTTTCAGGTTTTGCATTTACTTCGGGTGCCTGTGTATTTTTGGGTTGGAGTCTATCTTTCTCTCGCTGATCAGACTGAGTGCTCCTGTCCTCGTCCTTCTGTTTGCAATCCGTATTTGATTCTTTAAGCTTTCCATCCCCACACTCACCATCTGCGGTTCCCGCGTGACCAGAGTCATCATGTCCTTCTGATTGGGTGTCCTGCCTTACCCCTTTATCACTTTGGGTGATTTCACTGCCACCTCTTCCGTCCAACGTGCCGCCGCTAACAAGTCCTTTCCCAGGTTTCTGACTTGGCACTTGTGCTTTTTGTAGAGCAGGACCGACCTGACACTTTGCACGGTCCGCCACTTCAGCAGGGCAGTCCGCAAGAGCCTTCCCATTCGATGCACCAATTTCTCTCCCCCCGTCGGCGCTTTTGGCTCCTGCTGCCCCCGTGGGACCAGCAGGGCCGGGGGCACCAGGAAGTCCTCCAGCTCCTGGCAGCAGGACGTTCCCAATATCACCGCCACCACCAGCAGTGGCTCCCATATTAGTTTGCGATTGCGTTGCTTGCACAGACGACAAAGATGATGAAGGCGTGCAAGTAGTTGGGTCCGAAGGTTCCTTGCAGGCCGCCTTGTTCGTATGAGCCGTTTCGCCAATTCGAGAACCACCATCTCCACGCTCATTTACTTCCTCGCTTTGCTGGCAAGGATCTTCACCACTCTGCGCCGCCACCTCGGGCGGAGTGCAAACCTTCGGCCCGACACCACTGCCACCCTTTGGATTGCTATCACCTACGGTTTCCAGCGCTTTCGCACAAGGCGGTATCGTCTTGCCATCCCCTGGGCAAGTGTTCGCAGAAACCGCAGCTCCTTCTAAACCGGGACTAACATCAGCACCAGGTGAAAGATCTTGTGAAGGGTTGCATTGCGTAGTTCCACCGCTCGTGCAATCAGTAGCAACAACGGTTTCAACTTCATCCCCCGCACACCCGCAGGCACAACACACGCAGAGCACACACACAAACAACACGTAGCGCATCATCATCATCGCCAGTTGTGACCTTGCAGAAAGCAGAGAGACAAAAGCAGACAGCGAGGCATAGGAAAGCCACCACACCACACACCCCACCAACTCCGTGCCACGCCACCACCAGCACAGCAACAAGAATCCACCCAACCAAACACCCAGTGACGAGA